GCTGGCCGCATCGGGAGCCGCGCTCGCCGCGTGGGTCATTTCTAAGTGCTGTTTAGCAGGGAGGTTTTCAGAAGCTCTCCACGTCGGCCTAGTACTGCTCCCGTGGCCGTTGTGTATCTGTATAACCAGTCACAGCCGTCCCAGACCCGCCTCCTCCCAGGACAGCGTCCATCCCCACAGTCCCCCAGCTCAGAAATACACCGTGGTTTCAGCTCCCCTCTGCAGAGCCCTCCTTTCTCCTTAAAATAGCCCTGGCTTTGGCTGGACGCGCTCGTTTTCCATTTCTGAAGCTGCTCTCCGTGCCCATGGCACACAGACAGTTGGAGCCAGGCAAGAAAACCACCAGCCAAGGACAAACGTTTCCATGTGGAAACCTCTGCTCTTCAAGCCCATCGGCAAACTCATCCTCACAGCAATCCCAGAGGCGCAGGGAGCAAAACTCCCCATAGCCAGAGATGCAGCTCGTACAGATGCACCCACGTGCACTATACGTGAACACGCTACCCGTATGTGCCAGGCTCCACGCCGATGCTTTGGAGGGCTGCCCACACTGCTGCTTCTGCAGAGCCTCGAAATTACTGCCATGACCCACTTGTCTACACTGCCTCCGGGGGAAAAGAAAGTTCTGTCACAGGAGGGTTATTTGAAAGCAAACCCTCATATTTCAGACTAAGAGTTATTCATATCTCTTTGTGGACATAAATTTGGAGACCTGTTGTCTCATCCGAGTTAGGATTTCTGTTTTTGTCCTCCTGTTCCGGGCTTTGCTTTGTGCTGTGGGGACAAATCTGCTTGGGATTTTGCATGTACTTGAAAGAGCTGTTGTGCACCTCTTTACCAAAATGCTTCAGAATCACTGGTATGGATTTAAGCATTGTCTTTTATTGCTCCTCTGTACTGTGGCATGTTCATCCCCTGGCTACAATACAGTTTTCTTCCTTTACAGCTTAATTCTTCCAAGCAGCTGCTTGGCTCCATATGAAACAGACCTGCTTATCCCACAACTCCCCCTTCTTTCTTTTCTTTTCTTTTTTTTTTTTTAAGATAAAATTTACCCATGTACAAAGGCACTTGCTTTTCTAAAGCAGGGAAACCTACCTGGGCCTCCTTGTTTCTCTTAACGGCCCCAGTGGGTTGTGTTATTTTGCCAGGCCTTTTAGCCTCTGCCTTGTGCTCTGGTACCTGGTTCTGCCCTGGCTGGCAGAGCCTCCAGCTCCTTCCCTGCGGCTGCCGATGGCCCCCATCGGGTTAGCACGTAACCCTGGCACTGCAGGCATCTCATCCCGTCCTCGCGGTGTTGTTGGCAGAAAAAACAACACCAGCCTGCTCCCTAACACCATCCTTCCTTTGTCTCCCTGCTCTTTGGGTCGGGAAAGGACAATACTGCGTTTGTGATCACAGGCCTTGTTGGCAAACAGAGCTCTTTGTGAGAGCCGCTCCTGCTTTGCACTTCAGAAACCTGTGTCTGTGCTTTGGTGTTAATTCAGCACCAGGAAGAAGCGGCCTCCCCCCTCCCCAAGTGTCCCCTCTGGAGCGGGTGGCTCTGTGGGGACACTTCATTTCCAGTGCCAGACACCTACACGCTTCTCCCCACTTTAAATTCCTCACTCTTTTCTGCCCATTAATGCCGCAGGTTCCTTAGCATTTCTTGCTGAGTTTCTGCTGTAAGCACGGATGCAAAACTGCACTAATGGTGATGTTTCAGCGTTGCTTCCCCTCTTGTAGCCTCACCAACCCTTCTCTCTAGCCCTCTGTGACTGCAGCCCCCTGCAGTCCCTGAGGGCTTTCCTGACAAGGGCTGTGATTTACGCGACTTTTGCCTCTGTTTTCCTCCTCTTCCCTCCATCTCCCCACCAACACTGGAGATCACTTGCGGCTCCCGATCTTTGCTAACGTTGCACATCCAAGCAATGTTTTCCCTTGCTCCTTCTGGCGCGGTGCGTGAAATAATGCGTCACCTCGTGGCTGCTTGTAGCTTCTGTCCCACCAATCCACTTCAAATCCGTGCAGAGACCACCCGTTTGTTTGCACGTAGCACAGGTAGATTGCCTTAAGCGGCAGGCATGGACTCCACACGTGGCCACCTCAGCAACCACAGCCCAGCAGCTGGTTGGCCAAGCTGGGTCAGAAGGGAGGCCGGGAGATACCTGCCCACCCAAAGGGATTAGTTCTGCCCTCAGGAATGTAGGTGTGAAGGAATTTCTTGGAAAAGTGAAATGTTGCCATTGAGGACAGGGCCAAGATGGCAAATCGAGAGGTGGGGGTAAGCACAGCTTCATGAGCTAGGGCCCTCATCTGCAGCGTGCAAAGAGATCTGTGCAGGAGGAGGCGTGCAGAGAGGAGGTGCAGATCTCGCTCAGGAGAGGGAGCCTCTCCAGCAAGAGCCATCCCGGCACCCCAGGCAATCCCGGAGCTGCCGCTTGGGCGCGAAGCCCTGTCCCCACCGGGACATTGCCCAGCAACTGCTGCAAACCCTCATCGAGGAGCAGTGCCCCTGGGCATGGGATGTTCAACACTTTGCACCGGGATTTCAAAGCAACCAAAGTCTTCCAAAGCATCCGTGTAAAGTCCTGGAGGTGGAAATCTGCCTTGCTGTTTTGGGCGATTTGCCTAAAACAGACCCGATCCCGCGTTCAGAGCGCCCAGCGCTCGGACACGGGGGAGC